TTTTGCAGCTGCAAAAAAAAAATACCACGCCGTACCCAAACATACCCAGCTGTACCCACGACGTACCCAAACGTTATATGCTGTACCCAACATGTATTTAGCATACCCAGTAGACATGAATATACGGTACACTTACCCGCACCCGGTAAGTACCCTATACTTGTACGGCACCATTTTTGAGTACACGTGCTTCATAGATCTTCATTCATCAGATCATGGCTTCCGAAGGAGAGAACGAAAAGACACAAACACAGAAAAAAGTGACTCGAAAAAAGATGAGTGGATGATAGAAAAAGAAAAATATAATGAATGATATGGAATAAGAGAGAGGACTCAGATATGACTATAGGTAAGAGGCAAAGGGTAGTTATAGGCCTCAGTCTTTTTTAGATAGGTCCCAGTCTTTAGAGATAAGATCAATATGATAAGGAAAGTGACTCAAGAGCCAATACCAATGTAACATATGTAGATGCAATATGCTAAGTAAATACATTAGTCGGTTTGGGTGGCAGATTTCTGGACAGTAGACCCAACATCCAACCGATTGATTGAAAAAATTAAGAACTTCACCACTACAAACCGTAACTGATATCAAAACCTTCCGATGATGCTCTTAGTCGGGTCATTCGGGTTGAACGCTTTGGATAATTTTTGAAAATTGTACTAGGCTAGTTCCTGATGGGATGAGAAAAAGTGGTTTGTTTTATTCAGCTAGGAATAGAAAGGAAAATGGGTGACACACTATCCCAACAATCAAGCCCTACTCATGGTTGACAGACATAAAGAGTTGCATTTTGGTCAAAATGGTCCTTAGTAACATCCAGCTTTGGTCTATTTGCTTTCGGGGGCTTACTCTTTTTATCCTAACAGACCTTGTGAAAAGAGTCGGGCCTTATTCTTCTAGCACGATCACCCCTCGTTATAATGGTCATTTTTCAGCTCTATGGGGCATCTTTGGTGGTTGTGAAAGGAGGTTGTCTTCGTTCTCAGATGGGTAAACTCTGATTGCAAAGAAATGTGTGCTCAAGAAGGAACAAAGAGGGAGATGCTTCAAGACCTGAGTGGAGCAATACAATAGCTCTGAAAATACAAAGGGTGGGAGATGAATAGAGTGATTGTTCAAAAGAGGGTTTGCAAGTCTCTCTTATGGACAACGAGCAGATAAGTTCCATAGCATTGGGTGAACTATGAAGTATAGGTACTTCGACAAACCATGCTATACTCGTATCGGGTACTTGTACTTTGCATTGTTGTTCTGCATACATATCAGGTACAACAAGCACATACCTAAATTTTTCTTCTTAATTTTTGTCATTCCCTAGAGGTACCTAGTATATACCGAAGTCATACTGAAGCCGAAATAATATTTTCTTTTATACAAAGGTGAATTCAGTTTCATTGGATTTTTTATGTATTGATTTTAAAATTAATCTTTGGTTTGTCAGTTATTCAATATAATGACATTTAATTTTGCTTTATACCTTACTTTTGGTATTAAATGTAAATTGTATGTTGTATCTTAACCAACTAAACCATTTACCTAATTTTTGCACAACTCTAAATTAAAAATAAATCTTTTTTGACTAACGTACCTAGTTATACCCGTGCTTTACTTTTTTTAGATTTTACCATATCGATATACTCATACTCGTATCTGTACACATGCTTCATAGGGTGGAAGACATAAGGTAAGATACCTCAAGGTATAGTATCAAGGCTAGAGTCTCAAGTCTCTATTCCTTCTGTCTTTTGTCCAGTGTAATGTGAGAGAACAAGGATGTTGTGGTAATTTTTTATTGGACTTCAG